AAACATTTTTTCAAAGAGTTATTCACGAAGAAACGTTCCATTTTTCCAGAAAAACGCAATTTTCGACAATAAATCGGCAGATATCATTTTTTGCGGAGGAAATTGGGCGCATAATTGTTTTTTTCAAGTCAGTCCACAGCTAAGTTAACTCAGATTTAAGAAAAATTTGAAAGGGCTAAAATTTGAAAAGAAAAAATTAAAAAAACGAGTTAAAATTGACCAATTTTGAGGCTAATGTACAAGCGTTTGAAAAAGTTTAAAATACATTTTTTGACGTGAAGACGAATTTTCAATGAAAAGTTTAACCTTAATCAAAAAAGAATCTACATAGCACCTATCTTATGGATGAAAAATTTTCTCAAATTTCATTCGGGTTTTTAAGATCTGGCTCAATGTATTTGCACTTTTTTGAAAAACCGCAGTTTTTCAAAAGTGCCCTTCTTCGGCGCACTGTTTCTGCTCAGCGCGTAAAATTTCCAAGGTTAATGGAGGTTCTTCTTCACCCTCACTTTGATAGTTTTCTCGACGCGTCGTACATTTTTCTACAGCTTCTCCAGGGTGCCATCTCGTCTCCATAGTTGTATTCCAGCTCTTCGTTTTCCTCAATCTGTCTGCACGCCTTAAAAACGACATGGCTTCTCGCATTTTGTATTAGGCGCCTCACGACAAGGTTCAGATTTCAATGATTATCATTCATGAACCTTGCCAGTCCACTTTTTTCAGGGTTTGTGCCGTCTATGAATACTACTTTTCGGTCTGTGAAACAGTAGTCGTTTTTTCCTGCTTGTTTCAATTTGTCATATTCTTGTCTTGTTACAAGCCTCCCCCAGTATGCGCACACAAACTCTCCCTCCTCAATTCTTTTTCGGGCAAAGAGACCCATCCTCTTGTGACCGGCATCTCCCACGTATATTTTCGTCAAATCGTCCTTGAATATAAACTTTCTCGCCGTTGTCTCAAACGTGGCTCTTGCAAATTTCAGTTTTAGGTTGTTCATGTCAATTTTTGATCGGTTCATGTTTTATCAAGTTTTGATCGGAATTTCAATTCTCTCTAAAAAAAATCGGATGACTGAATTGATTCTTTTTGTAGAGATTTATGCTGAACACCTTTGGTTACGTGAAATTTTGCTTTTTTGGAACTTTTTTTGCGAAATTATGAGCCTTCAAAAAGGCTAAAAAACGCAGTAATAAAAATGCAGGTTTTAGAAATGCAGCTCAGAATTTTGATTAGACATCAAACAGCACTCTGAAGTCTATTTCAACACAGCACAAACTAGCAGTAAAACATACAAAAGTCCTCTATTATCTCAAAGAAAAGGCAACCTCTTCGATGCAATCAACTATTCTAATGCTGAGTGGTCAAAAAAAATAAAGGCAAAATACACCAAGGTGAAAACTATAATTAAGCAAAAATAAATTTGAATCAAATAAAACAATGGAACGAAAAAAAATTGACGCATGTCATATAGATAATGAAATTTTAACACAAAACAAAGAAGAAGATACATAATAAAGACATCAGCACCCGAAAAACTAGAAAAAGTTCGAGGGAACAAATTCTAGAAGAACAATACAAAGAAGAAAAACAAAAAAATGAACAAAGGATAACAGACAGCGAAAAAAATGATTGAAATGAGTTTTAGAATAGGAAAACAAAACACAAAAAGGACAACTAAGTCATATAAATGATCTAAGAAGAAACGACAAGATATATACAACAGAACCTAAACAAGGCAAAAAATAATCAGTAAAACGAATCGTAGAACAAAACAAACAATAGGGAAACAAAACAAACAATCAATATACGGCAACAACAACAATCAACTGCAAAGGATGAATTGTAGACAACTAAGCGCCTCCTAGCACAACTAAGGCTTATGGAGGCACAAAGTCATAAACAACTCACCCGATCACTCAACTAAGCCCCTCCTAGCACAACTAAGGCTTATGGAGGCACAAAGTCAAGTGATCTAATCAATATACGGCAACCACAACAATAAACTTCAAAGGATGAATTGTAGACAACTAAGCCCCTCCTAGCACAACTAAGGCTTATGGAGGCACAAAGTCATAAACAACTCACCCGATCACTCAACTAAGCCCCTCCTAGCACAACTAAGGCTTATGGAGGCACAAAGTCAAGTGATCAAAATCATTATACGGCAGCAACAACAACAATCAACTGTAAAGGATGAATTGTAGACAACTAAGCCCCTCCTAGCACAACTAAGGCTTATGGAGGCACAAAGTTATAAACCACTCACCCGATCACTCAACTAAGCAAACATGACATCATCTAGCGAAAAAACAATGGTTTTTTTTTGAACAATTCTGGAAGAACCATACTAACAAAAAAACTATCAAAAGACAAAGCAAAGTGATAACATTAAGCAAAATCCAATCAATAGGATGAATCCTAGAAGAACAAAACGAAAACAAACAATATGGACCATCAATTAAAACAAAGAAAAAACTGACAGAAGAACAAACCAGCAGAAAAAAAGCAAACATTAAATGATTGGACAATTCCTAGAAAAAAAACAAGAAAATTAAGAAAAAATGAAATTGAAAAAACAAACACACTGTTTGACTTCTCAGCATTAAGAAAAATGATTGCATTTAAATTGTTAGTTTGAAATCGAGATAATTGAGGAAAATTGTACGTTTATTGCTATTTAGTGTTGTGTTTATTTAGACCTAAGATTTCTTTGAGAGTCGTTTTTTTCATCACAGCTGCGAAAGATAAACAAAGAACATAATTAATTTTAAAATGGGACATAAAAAACAGTTGATCCAATCGTCTTCCTCTTCCTTCTGTGAGCCCTAAAAATACACTGAAATTATCTTTGAAAACTATAGACACACAACCACCTGTAACCTTACAGGTTCTTCTGTCATCTGTAATGCTTTTCTTGTTCACTCTGTTTGCGAAGCTTGTCTTTTCTTTCTTTCCCTTTCTCTTTTCGATGGCTTGTTTTTTTTAACGACTTCCTCTACCTGATTTTTTTCCTTTCCTTTTTCGAGGGTTTAAGTTTTTTGGACTTGTAGACTAGGCTTTTGAGGTTATTCCTTTTGGTCCATACAATCAGCATAAGTTTTGATTCCAATTTTTTGCACGGATGGATTTGTTGAAGTTGGAAACAAATAAAGGAATAACCAGTATTTTTGTTTTCAGAAGGGACTTAAAAATGTTGTTAGTAGCAATTCTTTGACAGTAAATGATGGAATTTATTTTGTCTTTTTGACTTAGCAACATCTGAGTTAGTTCTTCTGTTGTCAGACCGATGTTGTTGTTGCTCTTATGTGGAGTTATGGAATTGTTTATTACATCATGCCATTTCACTATCGTTTTTCATATCGTTTTTTCGCTTCAGCTTTCCATGCTCCTTTTGAAGCAGATAATTTACATTTTTAATTTTATCTTTGTGGTTAAATGACAAACAGGGCGCCGCAAAGAAAGATCCCTTGTAAATTTTTTTTGTTCTGTAACTCAACGTATTATAAGCAGATAATGAACTAGCTCCTAGGAGAAAAACCATTGTCGGCAATGTTGATTGATAAGAGTTTTGTCGGTACACTGAGATCCAGTAACAGTAATCCTGTAACAAAAAAAATATTTTTAATTTTGTTATTACTTTTTGCATGTTGGAGGACTAATAACGAGTTTTCTAAGCTATCTCTTTTTTTGCAAATATGGGGAGCTCAAATGAGTTTTTTCTAATTTAGCTTTTCAAGTGTTTTAACCTTTGCTCAACAATGGATCTTTGCTACGGTAACAACATATCCAAAATTCAATATTTTATTGCAAGTATTTTCTGAGTTATGTATCTTCAAAGTTTGCTAAAAAATTGACAAATTTCGAAAACAGTCCATTTTGCTACAATTTTGAGGACCTGTAACTTTTTTCTCTCTTTATATTAATTTTTTAAACTGTGTCATAGTGGAGAACAAAATGTGACTAATCGTTATAATCAAAATCTTCAGGATATCTCAAGTGGTCTTTGAGTTAGAGGTACTCAAAAAACGCGAAAAAAATCAGTAAAAACTGTAAACTGATTTTGCTGCAAATTTGAGGAATAACTTTTTTTTTCTAAATTATGAATAATGCTCAAACTAAGTCATTTTTGCTTCGATCTAGGCTTAGCACACTTTGAGCTACCTGTAATGCTGTTTTTTTGGATATCGAAAAAGTTTTATCAAAGTTATGAGCCTTCAAAAATGGCCATAATTTTTTTTGGCTGAAAGCAGCATAAAACCCAAACTGAACCGCACTGAACTTTCTAAGAGCTAACTACTGAACACTTTTTAAACTCTATACTATTTTTTTTCAAAGAGTTATGAAGTCTCAAAGTTGAGTCAATAACCAGTTTTTTTATTTTTAGCTTACTTTTTAGAATACCTATAAAAAATTTTCAGCGCTAGATAGCTCAGTGCGGTTTGTTGCATTATAAAGAGCAACAAATAGAGTACCACCCCACAAATTTTTGTAAGTTTTCAACAATTTTTCGCAGTCTTATAAAAAAAATTGCGAAAAACCCTATTTTTACTAACCTGTAAATGTGACTTTTCAAGATAAGTAACTGAATTTTGAGTGAAATAAGACACGAATGCAATTTTCCAACACGTACTTAACGTTTTGCCCAACAAAGCTCGACATCTTGTTGTCGTTCCTCCTGGCGGAGTTGGTGTGTGGTTCTTTCCCGAGGTGTTTCTCGGGGAAACTCTAGTGGGCACCAATTCTCACCACTCATCCCACCTTGCTCCTCGATAATATGCTTCTTGAAAGCCGGGAATTGAGGTTTGCAGGAAATGGCATAGCATCCCATACAAATTAGATACTGGTCGTTTCCTGTCATTTTGAAAGAGAATTCATTCCCCGGAAAATATCTTTTCGCGTTTTCGCAGGAAAACCTATGAGGCTTTATTTCCTCGGGGCACGACAATGGAAAGTCAAATGAAAAGCAGTGCCATTCTTTTGCTCTCCGGGTGAAAACGAACGGTTCTGATATTTTTGATGTTGTTTCCTTCTGTTTAGATCTCTTCTCCGGTATCTCTTCCACAGTCTTGAATCGCTTTGTGAGGTAGAGCGGCTTTTCTTTGGCTTTTTCATCTGCAATAATGGGCTCATCCTCCTCTGGCTCTCCATCACTACTGTCTTCACTGTTGAACCCGAAGCTGGCTGCGAGACTCAGCTCGGTGATTGGTCTTTTGATCAATGGTGGCGGTATCATTGATCCTTCTTCTGATATCACTTCTTCCTCACTTCCACTCGTCTCCGAAACTAGGGTATGTACAATCTGAGATCCGCTCGCTTTTTGCCCTTCTTCGGCGCACTGTTTCTGCTCAGCGCGTAAAATTTCCAAGGTTAATGGAGGTTCTTCTTCACCCTCACTTTGATAGTTTTCTCGACGCGTCGTACATTTTCTACAGCTTCTCCAGGGTGCCATCTCGTCTCCATAGTTGTATTCCAGCTCTTCGTTTTCCTCAATCTGTCTGCACGCCTTGAAAACTACATGGCTTCTCGCATTTTGTATTAGGCGCCTCACGACAAGGTTCAGATTTCAATGATTATCATTCATGAACCTTGCCAGTCCACTTTTTTCAGGGTTTGTGCCGTCTATGAATACTACTTTTCGGTCTGTGAAACAGTAGTCGTTTTTTCCTGCTTGTTTCAATTTGTCATATTCTTGTCTTGTTACAAGCCTCCCCCAGTATGCGCACACAAACTCTCCCTCCTCAATTCTTTTTCGGGCAAAGAGACCCATCCTCTTGTGACCGGCATCTCCCACGTATATTTTCGTCAAATCGTCCTTGAATATAAACTTTCTCGCCGTTGTCTCAAACGTGGCTCTTGCAAATTTCTGTTTAGGTTGTTCATGTCAATTTTTGATCGGTTCATGTTTTATCAAGTTTTGATCGGAATTTCAATTCTCTCTAAAAAAAATCGGATGACTGAATTGATTCTTTTTGTAGAGATTTATGCTGAACACCTTTGGTTACGTGAAATTTTGCTTTTTTGGAACTTTTTTTGCAAAATTATGAGCCTTCAAAAAGGCTAAAAAACGCAGTAATAAAAATGCAGGTTTTAGAAATGCAGCTCAGAATTTTGATTAGACATCAAACAGCACTCTGAAGTCTATTTCAACACAGCACAAACTAGCAGTAAAACATACAAAAGTCCTCTATTATCTCAAAGAAAAGGCAACCTCTTCGATGCAATCAACTATTCTAATGCTGAGTGGTCAAAAAAATAAAGGCAAAATACACCAAGGTGAAAACTATAATTTAGCAAAAATAAATTTGAATCAAATAAAACAATGGAACGAAAAAAAATTGACGCATGTCATATAGATAATGAAATTTTAACACAAAACAAAGAAGAAGATACATAATAAAGACATCAGCACCCGAAAAACTAGAAAAAGTTCGAGGGAACAAATTCTAGAAGAACAATACAAAGAAGAAAAACAAAAAAAATGAACAAAGGATAACAGACAGCGAAAAAAATGATTGAAATGAGTTTTAGAATAGGAAAACAAAACACAAAAAGGACAACTAAGTCATAAAAATGATCTAAGAAGAAACGACAAGATATATACAACAGAACCTAAACAAGGCAAAAAATAATCAGTAAAACGAATCGTAGAACAAAACAAACAATAGGGAAACAAAACAAACAATCAATATACGGCAACAACAACAATCAACTGCAAAGGATGAATTGTAGACAACTAAGCGCCTCCTAGCACAACTAAGGCTTATGGAGGCACAAAGTCATAAACAACTCACCCGATCACTCAACTAAGCCCCTCCTAGCACAACTAAGGCTTATGGAGGCACAAAGTCAAGTGATCTAATCAATATACAGCAACCACAACAATAAACTTCAAAGGATGAATTGTAGACAACTAAGCCCCTCCTAGCACAACTAAGGCTTATGGAGGCACAAAGTCATAAACAACTCACCCGATCACTCAACTAAGCCCCTCCTAGCACAACTAAGGCTTATGGAGGCACAAAGTCAAGTGATCAAAATCATTATACGGCAGCAACAACAATCAACTGTAAAGGATGAATTGTAGACAACTAAGCCCCTCCTAGCACAACTAAGGCTTATGGAGGCACAAAGTTATAAACCACTCACCCGATCACTCAACTAAGCAAACATGACATCATCTAGCGAAAAAACAATGGTTTTTTTGAACAATTCTGGAAGAACCATACTAACAAAAAAACTATCAAAAGACTAAGCAAAGTGATAACATTAAGCAAAATCCAATCAATAGGATGAATCCTAGAAGAACAAAACGAAAACAAACAATATGGACCATCAATTAAAACAAAGAAAAAACTGACAGAAGAACAAACCAGCAGAAAAAAAGCAAACATTAAATGATTGGACAATTCCTAGAAAAAAAAACAAGAAAATTAAGAAAAAATGAAATTGAAAAAACAAACACACTGTTTGACTTCTCAGCATTAAGAAAAATGATTGCATTTAAATTGTTAGTTTGAAATCGAGATAATTGAGGAAAATTGTACGTTTATTGCTATTTAGTGTTGTGTTTATTTAGACCTAAGATTTCTTTGAGAGTCGTTTTTTTCATCACAGCTGCGAAAGATAAACAAAGAACATAATTAATTTTAAAATGGGACATAAAAAACAGTTGATCCAATCGTCTTCCTCTTCCTTCTGTGAGCCCTAAAAATACACTGAAATTATCTTTGAAAACTATAGACACACAACCACCTGTAACCTTACAGGTTCTTCTGTCATCTGTAATGCTTTTCTTGTTCACTCTGTTTGCGAAGCTTGTCTTTTCTTTCTTTCCCTTTCTCTTTTCGATGGCTTGTTTTTTTTAACGACTTCCTCTACCTGATTTTTTTCCTTTCCTTTTTCGAGGGTTTAAGTTTTTTGGACTTGTAGACTAGGCTTTTGAGGTTATTCCTTTTGGTCCATACAATCAGCATAAGTTTTGATTCCAATTTTTTGCACGGATGGATTTGTTGAAGTTGGAAACAAATAAAGGAATAACCAGTATTTTTGTTTTCAGAAGGGACTTAAAAATGTTGTTAGTAGCAATTCTTTGACAGTAAATGATGGAATTTATTTTGTCTTTTTGACTTAGCAACATCTGAGTTAGTTCTTCTGTTGTCAGACCGATGTTGTTGTTGCTCTTATGTGGAGTTATGGAATTGTTTATTACATCATGCCATTTCACTATCGTTTTTCATATCGTTTTTTCGCTTCAGCTTTCCATGCTCCTTTTGAAGCAGATAATTTACATTTTTAATTTTATCTTTGTGGTTAAATGACAAACAGGGCGCCGCAAAGAAAGATCCCTTGTAAATTTTTTTTGTTCTGTAACTCAACGTATTATAAGCAGATAATGAACTAGCTCCTAGGAGAAAAACCATTGTCGGCAATGTTGATTGATAAGAGTTTTGTCGGTACACTGAGATCCAGTAACAGTAATCCTGTAACAAAAAAAATATTTTTAATTTTGTTATTACTTTTTGCATGTTGGAGGACTAATAACGAGTTTTCTAAGCTATCTCTTTTTTTGCAAATATGGGGAGCTCAAATGAGTTTTTTCTAATTTAGCTTTTCAAGTGTTTTAACCTTTGCTCAACAATGGATCTTTGCTACGGTAACAACATATCCAAAATTCAATATTTTATTGCAAGTATTTTCTGAGTTATGTATCTTCAAAGTTTGCTAAAAAATTGACAAATTTCGAAAACAGTCCATTTTGCTACAATTTTGAGGACCTGTAACTTTTTTCTCTCTTTATATTAATTTTTTAAACTGTGTCATAGTGGAGAACAAAATGTGACTAATCGTTATCATCAAAATCTTCAGGATATCTCAAGTGGTCTTTGAGTTAGAGGTACTCAAAAAACGCGAAAAAAATCAGTAAAAACTGTAAACTGATTTTGCTGCAAATTTGAGGACTAACTTTTTTTTCTAAATTATGAATAATGCTCAAACTAAGTCATTCTGTTGTCATGCAGTTGGTTAAGCTTTGACATCAAATTTATGATGGTTTTTTTTTAATGAGTTACAGATCCTCAAAAATTGCCAAAAAAAAACGAAAGTTTCGATTTTTAGCAATTTTTGAAAGAGAATTCTGAATCAACCAATGCAATTCAGCCGATTTTTTTGATTGATTGTTACTCTACAGTTTTTGAGCATTGTCACCTTTTTTTGTGTTGTTTTAAGTAAAACTCGATGAGTTATCAAGCTTCAAAAATGCTAAAAATTTCAAAAAATCCATTTTTTGTGCAAGTTTGAGGACCTCTAACTTTTTTTTTGAATTTTTGGTTTTTGATGAAACTTCGTCACAGTGTAGACCTGGCTATGGTGAACACTTGATATGAAAATTATTGATATATCTGGAAATCTCTTTTAGTTAAGTGTCCTCAAAAGTGCAAAAAAACGCGTTTTTTGTGATTTCTAGCTTTTTTGAAGGCCCCTAACTTTTTTTTCAACTGCAAAATCGCCAAACCCATGTAACCAGTTCTTGTTTACACCTTGTTAAAGACCTCCACATTTTTTTGAGTCAGTTTACGTTTTTTTTGTCAAGTAATAGGCGATCAAAATTTGCACTGAAAAGCACAATTTTCAGTTGAAACCAAGTTTAAAGCCAAAAACGTTTTTTTTTTCGCTGACTGAATTCATTTTTTGCTTCGATCTAGGCTTAGCACACTTTGAGTTACCTGTAATGCTGTTTTTTTTGGATATCGAAAAAGTTTTATCAAAGTTATGAGCCTTCAAAAATGGCCATAATTTTTTTTTGGCTGAAAGCAGCATAAAACCCAAACTGAACCGCACTGAACTTTCTAAGAGCTAACTACTGAACACTTTTTAAACTCTATACTATTTTTTTTCAAAGAGTTATGAAGTCTCAAAGTTGAGTCAATAACCAGTTTTTTTATTTTTAGCTTACTTTTTAGAATACCTATAAAAAATTTTCAGCGCTAGATAGCTCAGTGCGGTTTGTTGCATCATAAAGAGCAACAACTAGAGTACCACCCCACAAATTTTTGTAAGTTTTCAACAATTTTTCGCAGTCTTATAAAAAAAATTGCGAAAAACCCTATTCTTACTAACCTGTAAATGTGAATTTTCAAGATAAGTAACTGAATTTTGAGTGAAATAAGACACGAATGCAATTTTCCAACACGTACTTAACGTTTTGCCCAACAAAGCTCGACCGGAACGAAAAACATTTTGACCAAAAAAAAAACGAGTTCCATTTTGAGCTTCAGAGAGTCACTAATTTCAATTTTCCGGTATGAAGACGAAATTTTTATGCAAAGATGATGTATACTTTGTAGAAAGAACTTTTGACGCGCCGAACCATGAACAAAACGGCAAATGATAGAAACATTTTTTCAAAGAGTTATTCACGAAGAAACGTTCCATTTTTCTCTTTTTATATTAATTTTTTAAACTGTGTCATAGTGGAGAACAAAATGTGACTAATCGTTATCATCAAAGTCTTCAGGATATCTCAAAAAACGGCAAATGATAGAAACATTTTTTCAAAGAGTTATTCACGAAGAAACGTTCCATTTTTCCAGAAAAACGCAATTTTCGACAATAAATCGGCAGATATCATTTTTTGCGGAGGAAATTGGGCTCATAATTGTATTTTTCAAGTGAGTCCACAGCTAAGTTAACTCAGATTTAAAAAAAATTTGAAAAGGGCTAAAATTTGAAAAGAAAAAATTTAAAAAACGAGTAAAAATTGACCAATTT